GAAGGGGGTGGGGGGCGGCATCTCCTGCCCGCACCGCGCAGACGGGGGGTTTTTATGCCAAAGCTTCCCGTGTCGTAGGGCTGTCCCAGCAAAAATGCCCTTGGGGCACCGTGCGGGCTCTGCGAGGCTCAGCTTCTGAATCACCACCCCTTCCCTGGGCTCTTTCTTGGCAGAGCACAGCGCATCATCACTGGGCTGTAATCGCTAACTGTCCGTGGGAGTGAAAATCGGAAAGAAAAAGGTTTTTCCTTTGCATTTTGCGTTTAACCTGGCATGGTGATTCTGCCCAGTTGCTGTGGAGGCGTCCTAGGAGAGAGGGAGAAGCACAAGCTCTGAAATTCCCTGATCACGAAGTTCCTCTGCAATTACAATCCAAAATAAAACATGTTTCAAAGATTATGGACAATCCACTTCTCACTGCTTTTCCCAGCTTTTCGATGGAGGAATATTAGTAGTGCTGGAGCAGCTGTGGGAAGATGGTGGGGAAATTCAGTTCCCAGTTCCAAGAGGGTTGTCTTGTGATAGTACCACTCATTTTTACGTACTGTTGTGCACAGATAATGCTGCATCCTGGGTCAGTGTTTCCACCAGAACGGTGGCAGAGGAGCATTGCTCTGTAAGGCATGTGGAGGGCACTTTGCTTGAACTGTTGCTCTTCTTTGAATTAAACTGCAAAAGCAATTGCTGCAGAGGACAAAAGCCACTCTCTACCTCACTTTGGCACTTTTTATTAAAATACATGTGAGCAGATACATTTTCTGGTGTTCTGCAAGTGCTCAAAGCAAAGTGAATAATGCAGTATGTAGCCTTACTGTTTTCTTGGCAAAAAAAAAAAAAGGTGTGATCACAAAATCTCTCCTTTTTCTCTCTCCAGTGAATACAGAGGTTTGGTGAAACACACAGGAGGCTGTCACTGCGGAGCCGTCCGCTTTGAGGTCTGGGCTTCAGCCGACCTGCATGTTTTTAACTGCAAGTGAGTTTTCTTTTGTTCCCTGTTCTCACAGATGAATAAAAGCTTGTATGTTTTTCCAACAATGGCAGAACATCTGTTCCCTAGAGTATACTTATAATTACGTCCTGATCCAATCTGGGATCCGTGGTGGTGATTTCAAGTGCTGCTTCTTTGGGCAGGACTTCAGGTCTCACATCCATGCTCATGCAGAAAGTGACAGGAGAGATCTAATGATCTCAGGTGCTCAGCCACCTGCTTTTTGTTTCCTCTTAAGAGCAGTGTGCTCAAAGCACATCCATCCTTTTTTAAGTTGGTCTTCTCAAGTGAACACATCTCTGACCACATGTGCTTCAAACTACAGCAGTGCCTGATTTCAATAGTGATCCCTCTTCACCTGCAACTAGTTTGCTTCTAGCTCATGGGTAAACTTCTGAACCTTACTTTCTTGTTTGCAAGGTAATTAATGTTGGCAAAATTGGCAAAGTCTGGTCTGAAAGATTAAATGGATTTCCCAGGACTAGAGTTTGTCCTTGTTATGTCTGTTGACAGTTGTATATGTGAAGAAAAAAAGGCATGTAATGTTTGGCGTAGAAGAATACCTTATCGGTGTACCGGTGTAGGGTCAGTCTGTTCCGTGGGCGTGCTTAGCCAAACACTACTGATACCACAAGTCCACTTCTGCTGCTTACCTCTGTGATGGTAACCAGGAGCCACTTCAGCTGTCAGTGGAATTTCTGCTGTTAAGAGGTCCATGCTAGATCTGCTTGCTGTACTACAGCTTGTCCGCTGCTTCTAGAAAGGTCTGCTTTTCTTTTACAGTTGCAGCATTTGCACAAAGAAACAGAACAGACACTTCATTGTCCCAGCGTCGCGTTTCAAGCTGCTGAAGGTAGAGTAAGAATGCAGTAAGAGCATGGCCATGAACACGAGCAGCATAATCCAGTATTACCCTCAAAGATGCAACTGGCAGCCAGTTTTCTGTCCTAAGTTTGTCTCTGACTGGTTGGGGGAGATGGCTGAATTTTATGTCATTTGGTGTGGGTGTGTTAGTGCATCTTATTAGTGAGCTGATGTTGGAGCTCTTGCGGTTCTCGGGCTTGGCTGGGATGGTCACGTGTATATACAAAGCACAGGGGTTCAGAAAAGGAGCATGAATGCAGAACTCTGTATCTCAAGTAAAGACATGAAGGTGATGTTTCAAATTTTACACTTCTTAGGCCCATAGAAAGTAATTAATACATCTATTTATGTGGAAAACTTACACTGCTTTTCATTTGCTTAGGGTGCTGATAATTTGACAACATACACCTTCAACACACATCGTGCCCAGCACACATTCTGCAAGACCTGTGGTGTACAGAGCTTTTATACTCCTCGTTCAAATCCAGACGGTTATGGTAGGTAGAAAGAGTAAACTGTGGTAACCAGAGTTAACCACCGAGCAAACCTTGGATAGACTCCATTGGCTACTAACACGACAGCAGTGAGCAGCACGTGTTTTAAGAGTTTGTTCCTAAAGTGCTAAACATCTCGATCTGCGGTCTGAGCCTGTAGCTCCTCCATAAGAAACAGTCTTGCCTATGACGTGTGGGCTTCTGCCCATGACAGGTTTCTCATTGAGGCTCCTCAGCCTTACAGCAATAGCTTTTACCATTCCCTTAGGTGCCCCATCCACAGAGTGGTGCAGGAGTCTCCCACGCTTTTATCTTCGAAAAGCAGGTTTCTATGTACTCTCTCTTTCTTCAGGAATAGCTCCCCATTGTCTGGATGATGGCACCGTGCAGACCATTGTCACAGAGGATATCAATGGCAAGGAATGGGAGAAGGCAGTGAAGGAGCACAAGACTATCAGAGACATGTCAAAACCCTGACATACCCTTCCAGCAGCTGAACTTGGAGCACTGACGTGGAACTGTAGTCTGGGCTTTCCCGGCTGCGGGTTGGCAAAATCAGTCTCTACATTGTGGTTATCTGTTCTCTGTTTCTTAAATAAATCTTTTTATGCTGCCTGTCTCATTCATTTATGACTTTCAAACTACCTCTGTTCCATAAACCACCCCAGGGCTGCTATTTTGGTACTTTGCCCTTAGCTATGCCAAAGTTTAAATCACAATAAACACAGCAAAGTACAAAAAAAAAAAAATCTAATCTTTCTGTAGATATTTCCTGTTTTTCAAGTCTGGCTTATAAAAATACCCTATATAAGATAATTTGCTTAGGACACAATACTAACTTGCACTGTTTTTTCTTCAGTGACTTCAATGAATTGACCATGGACTTAGAGTTAAAGGGGATCTGAAAGAGCTTAGCAGGCTCAGGTTCAGTAAAGCATTTACACAGGTGCTTAACCGTATGCAAGAGCGGGGCCACGAGTTACTCGTGTGATTAGATACTGTTTTGCTTAAGCCTGGACTTACTCATGGTCTCAAGGCTGAGCAGGCATATGCTTAGGCACTGACTCATGGCTGGGGAACAGAGTTCAACGCTGTCATGTTCTTACAACAATGGGCAGGTACTTCAGTACAACCAGGAACTCGTTTATTGTCTTCATGAGGAGGATGTGCTCACAGCAACAGGTCAGGATCTGGCAACTGGGCTGACTATGCAGTCACTAGCTGTAGGTCCGGGAAAGATGCCTCCTGTAGATGTGAGCCCACATGAATGAGTGCAAAGGCCTTCAGAAATGTTGAGTATTGCTGACTTTGCTCCACCATGACCCCACAGAAACCCAAATCACTAGTAAAATCTCTGTATAGGCTAAGAAATGAAACCATTGAAAGCAGCTTCACTTACCTTTTAACATAAAGGGAGAGGATCTCTAACTCTTGCACTTGTCTTTTACATTAAGTGACAGCTTTTGAAACATCTCTTGCAATTTTTGTCTCTGCATGTGTTCTATAAAAGACCTAGTTACAGTCTGAATCTCTTGCACCTCATTCTTACATCCTGTTGAGACTCTTGTGTTGATCTTGAGCCCCATGTTCTGAAGCAAGAAGTGCTCATGTTTCATGAGGGACACTCTGCGAAGGTGGAGCCTGCAACACAATGTGCATGAAAGAGGCAGCAGTAGCAGCAAAGATCAGTGTAGTTAGAGAAATTTGTATGATTTCTAATGTTTTATTCGTAAGCTGTGGCTTTTTAAAGTTCTGACTGAATAAGACAGGTCTTGTGGTTCTGGTTTTATCTGTGAAGATAGCATGATCTTTGAAAATTTCCTCCTGATATCTGGATTTTACAAAAGCACCAAGAGATTGTTGCCAAGCAGTCCTCAGTGCTAGATCCTCTTGGGGAAAAATAGTTTGTGCCGTATCTTCTCTAATGCAGAATACTCCTGCATTTGACTCCTAAATAGGTTAATCCAAATTTCTTACCTATTTAAGCTTCTACAGTAAGAAAATAGAGTAGCCGTTAAACCCTGTTCATCTCACTGTATCAGGCAACAAGATGCTCAGAAGAAAGTTCACAGCCTGCTTTTTTGTAGTCTGAAAGAATGGTACACAAAGAGAATCCTGTCCTCTTGAGCACATAACAGCTGAGTTTTCTTTAGTCCTGGGCCTGGCACAGTCTTTCTTTCACTCATTCTTTTCCTCCTGAAGTTGTGAGCGACGTCTCTTTTACAGAAGGCGGAGTGAATTGATCACCATGTAACGTGAGAAAAGCAGATAGATGTGGCGAAACCAGAGGAGCTGGCTGCGATGACACCGCATGGCTCTCTAGAAGGAAAAACAGTTGAGAAAGCATTACAAGAACCTTCCAGACCTAACGTGAGGGCAGTTTCCTAGGCCTCCTGTGAGGTTCACTGCCAATTTATAGACGGCCCATTTTCAGTGAGCTTGGAAGAAGCAGTGGGAGGTAGAAGGCTCCTACTCTATGGGGCCAAAGGCTGGAAAAAGGCCTGTCTGCCCCTGTGCCACCAGCATTGTGATGCCTAGGGTTTAGAGGGGTCCTGCTGGAAAGGACATTATGAGCTCCAGCTTGGAGCTGTGACTGTTTCTTTGTCACATACAACTCCTCCTCCCTATGTGCTCTCACGTGTTTGCATGCTGGGGAAGCAGAAACCCGATAGGTGTGCATCTGAGAACACTTCACATGCTGCTTCCGATCATACATCGCCAGCTGAAACTTCATCTATTTATAGTGCACCAGCTGAGAAAGGTCAGATTTCAGAAAAAAAACCCATAAGGCAATAACACCACCTTTATCTGAGTAGTTTCCATATATAACTCTATCTTTTACCAGCCTCAAAAGCAGGAAAGTTCTGTAATTTGTGGAGTAAATAGACTGTTTGTTGGGCAAATATTTTCATGCTATGGAAGAGGATCTAATCAGATTCTAATATAAGGAACTGTGGACTAAATGTGTGAGATCTCGTGCAGCGAAATAGTTTAAAAAATTCACAGTAGAGAAAACAGCTTTGGATCACAAGTTCACAAGCTGTCTCTATCTTTAGTTAGAGCTACTATCCAAGGACACTGTTCCTGGCGTGCAGTCATGCCGTTCTCTGACAGGCCACTCACATGTTCAGAATATTCTGTTGGATCCAGTTTCCTTTGAAATACATCCTACATCCTGGACACAGTGTAAAACTCAGTGCACAAGCTGCAAGTCTGCTCGGCCCTGTCCTGCTATCCACACAGCACATGAAACAATCCGTCTTGTCCATTCATGTTTTACAAATCACTGAAGATCGTTCATTAGTGACATTTATAATCCATGTATATAATTATTTACAAAGTTCTCTGTGAATGTGACACTTCTGACTAAAGTCTTCACAATGATGGTGAGCTATTCAAACAGGTTAAGCAGGTACCAGGCATCTCACCCTGGCTTGTTCAGTCTCCTCCTCTGTGAGTATGAAGAGTGCATCTCTGGGCAGGAGGCAGGAAACGGGTATATCCAGGATGGAGATGTACTTCCGGAAGAGATTTACTGATTCAAGCACGAGCACACGGCACCCTAGACAGAGAAAGAGGATAAATATTTCAAAACAATATTATTGTAAGGTTCCCACCACTCCAGGCTCGGCAGGTCTTTGCAGGCTCCCCTGTATTGCTGGCCATGGGGATCCTTTTTGTGCCAAAGGGGAGCAACTTCTACACATGCTTCCACCAGGATCTCTTTGTGCCCACTGAATGTCTATGACCATTTGTACTGGTTCTTGTTCTGTATGTGGTCTGTGGAATGCAAAGCTAGCTCTCAAAACAAGAGGGGTTTTGGGTTTTCTTTTCTTATAATTTAAATTATTCCTACGAAGTTAGGCTCAGAGGAAAAAGCACAGAATGGCTCTCTGAATGCTGGCACTATAGCATATCATGGAAATTTAGAACAGCAGTCTCTAGTTCAGCTACAAAAATTAAATTTCCTCTTTCTACTCGAATTCTTAGCTACAGAAAAAATATTTACAAGATTCAGGAATGGCTGATTCAAATATTAACTCAGGCAGGCAGGCAGTTACACTTTAACAGAGCTCCAGAATTCATTGCTCAGATGTTTGTGATGAAGCAGATGAAGTTAACATGTATGAAGATTCTACTGGTGTGGATTTTTTTTGTTTTGTTTTGAAGAGCCCATTGAACTCAAAAGTTATTCTTTTTACCATGGCTATATTGTCTTCATTGATGAGCTCAGAGCTACTGATGGTCCCATTAAGAGCCTTTAGCTCTCAAGGGATCTGCTTTGGGATTTGTTAGGGCTTGGAAGCTGCGGTGATTATGCTCCACACTTCAGACATTGTATTAAAGTTGAACAGAAGAGGCCGAAGTCACAGTTTACACAGATACGCAATGAGATTTGCAATGAGATTGTCTTCAGTGTGCCCTTGAACAGTGAAATTACACAAAGGGCACAAAGAACAATGCTGAATTGCTACAGAGGCTGCCTGACCGACCACTGTAGTGTGTGAAGCCTGTGCTCACCTCTCATGCTGCTTAAGCTGTTATGTCCTGAGCACAAAGCAAACTGGTGGTGCTCAAATACCTCTTGACCCTGAAACGTAGGCAGTACTTGTGTCCTCCTAAGAGAAAAGATTCTCCAGGACAGGGGCAGAAGCAAACATCTTTTCCTAAAGGACTTTCTACACAAGGTGGTTTTCTGTAAAAGAGGTGATGATGCCTCTGCTAGGAGCCCTTTGTGCAGACCTGCTAGTGCTCAGGAGTCTCATCCCACAAGGATCTGAACAGTCAGCCTGCTGCTAAGGTCTCTACTTTGGACATTTGGTAGATCCTTCAGTCTGACCATGCATGAGACAGGAGAGCAAAACTTGTTGCTCTTACAGTAAATGAATTTCCTGGAGACACAAGGGAAGAAACCCGTGCAAGCCTCCAAGGTAGAGCACGGTACTCAAAGATAACCCACCAGCACCATTCCTTCCCTAGCCAGGGGTCTGTGACACACTGAACCCAGGAACAAACAGCATGCATAGGATGATCCTCCACAAATCCCCTCACAAGTGATTTGTGTCCTCTGCCTCTTCCCAGTGATGCCAACTCATTTCACTGCAAAGAAAGGTCTTGCTTTTATTCCAGCCAAAGCCTGCAACGGCAGGACAATGGCAGCCCTGACTAACTCCCTCCAGCACATCTCCAGGATCTTTCAGTTCCTTTCTTTCTTCTCTTTTCTTCAAGAGAAGGATGTACAATTTGTTCCGACTTTTCAATAGCTTTTTCCACTCTCAAAAGCAAAACTGGTAGCTCTTTATTCCAGTATCGTGGAGGGCTCCAGGACCATACTCCCAGTTCTCTTTCTGCACTGATCCTGGGACACGACTCCCTGGCAGGGTGGACAGAACATTCAAAGGAGTTATCTTCTCCTGCTGTGGGCAGCGATGGTCAGGGTTAGAGGCCTGAAGGGAAATCACCGGCATTTCCATCCAGGCAAACGCTGACAAAAGTCCGTGCAGTGCCAGGAACCGGAGGAAAAGCCCTCGAGAAGCTGAAGGACACCCGGTGCCAGGAGCTGCCGGGAGATGGCGGTGTTGGCGGGGGAGCCGCGACCCACCGCCCGCTGCCCGGCCAGCAGCGTCCTGCCCGGGCTGCCCAGGTTAGGATCGCTTTTGGCACCTTGAAGGCACTGTCTTAACCATGTCAGTGCCGTCCCATGTCCCTGCTCCCGTCCCACCGCAGCCTCAGCCGTCCAACCCTTGCAAGGTCATTGCAGCAGCTGTGCGATGCCATCTGGAAGGACCGATGGCACTGCCAAGCTCCCGGCAGCGAGCCCTTTGGACGTGTGGGAATGCAGGCAGCTGTGTGACCGGTGTGGCCTGTGCCACTTCCCGACGGTGAGCCTGAGGCCCCGTCTCGCTCACGGTCCACCTTGGCAAGTGCCAGACACATCGGTCGCTGTTCAGCTGCCAGAAGGTTTCAGCTTGTTTCGCAAAGGATGCTCTGCAGCGACAGCGTGGCGGCTGCACACAGAAGTGCCCTGACAGTTCTTCTACTAAAGACATTTCTTGTTTCCAAGTAGCAAACTTGTGATGTGCCGTGAGTAGTGGAACCACTCTTGCCTCCTTCTCTGCTCTGGGCTCCTCAGTAGGTCCAATCTGTTGGTGGGTAGTTTCAGAGAAAAGAATTTTATGGTGGTGCACAATGGCACAGCAGATGAAAGGAATAGATATGGATCACCTTGCTCTTGTAGTCAGCATTCCAGCTGGCCACCTGTTTGTTTTTCAGTGCTTACTGGTGAGGACAGGGCTAGAGCCAACATGGGGCAATAGGTCTTTTGTTTCCTGGATGGTTGTTAATGGACCCTGGCAATGCCACCTAAATTCCTACTTGCAATGATGGGAAGAGAAGCCTGGTGTAGGGTTACCCACCACCAATCCTTGAAGCCTGGGCTTCTCTGTTAACAAAACATGCTTTCCGTTTCCTCACAATTTTTTCCCTAAATTGACATTAATTCACGTAGCAATTATGCCCTTTTGTTCCCCAAAGCTCAGCCATAAGGGCTCAAAACAACTGCAAGAGATTTCAGTGTTGCTCAGTGTGACCTCCTGGGCCCCCGTCGGTCAGACCAGGCAAAGCCATGGCATTCCAGCCTCACAAAACGAAAGGCACCCTAAGAGTGAGTCCTCTGTGCTCGTGATACGACAAGGATCTCCACATGCTGACAGCAAAGGCTGCTCCGCATGGGAATGTGAGACGAAATGAAGCAGGGAAGGAATGTACAGTCCAGGGAGAGATGGAAAAGGGTTCAGTGAAACAGGCTGCTCCCTGCCAAGCAGGGTAAGAGAAGTGCTGCCATTGATGAGTCTACTCCTGTGACACCAGCAGGTGAAGCTTTTCAGAGCCTGTTGTGACTGTGACCTGGGCAGGGTGGGATTAACAGTGTAAGACAACCTCTCTACGTTGGCAGAAAGGGCAAGATCAATATAGCGAGCGGATTAGGCCCGGAATAGAAGCGCATGAAGCCTGCAGCCTGTTTGGCTTGGCTTTCTACTTCCAAATCACTTATGCAGCAAGCATGCCTAGAATGAGAAGATTATTTAGCAGATCTATGTGTGCTAAAGGCTTGCACTGCTCCTGATAGACAATTCTTTTGGAGGAGCACTGGTTACAGCTGGATGGAGCCAGTAGTAGGGCTGGATGCATATCCAGCAGCTGTCTCGGCTTCTTGAAACAAGCTATGTGCTTGTGCCTGGGCTGGAGAACTTGATTACAGATTATAAAAAGCCTGCTGCGTTTATGCTGGCTAAAGGCATTAGAAAGCAAAGCAGGATATTTAGGGTGCTCATTTGCATATCACTGAGGCAATGCGAGGCTTAGCTGGCTTTTGCATTTGCAGAGATTTTCGGTGGACTCCCTGATCACATGGGCTTTCACAAATAGTTGCCTCTTACCAACAGCAGAGCAGCACATTTCCATGGCCTGAACGTGCCTTTCAGCCCTGTGCAGGCAGCCTCAGTCCCAGCATCACTCTTGTTTCACTAAGGCCCTCTGATGCACAGCCCTGCACGCCTGCCAGATCGAATTATAAATACTGGGAATTTCAATGAGACTGGAACTATATTTGGAAGGGCTTAGCGTAAGCAGCAGCATGGGAGCTCCCCGTTCCTTTGGTGTTTGTAGGTCATGTCAGATGTGATGTAATCAGAGCAGCAAAGCTTTCGCATAGCTTCAGGAGTCTCTTGATGCTGCTAGAGAAATGGAAATGTTGTCTATACGTGACTCTGTTTCAAACCTGAACCAATTTGAGGCACAGCCCATATTCAGGACCACAGTAGATCTAACAGACCTGCATGAACAGAACATGAAGGTGGTTCAGTCTAGATGAGGCCTGACATCTAGGAGTGACATCTACCACTGCAGTTCCCTGTTCTTTCTCTGCACTGCACACAGCACACACAGAGCTCTTTGCTGCATCTCTAAGATGAACAAAGAAAAGGTCCTAGGAAAGAAGTTGGCATTAATACTCCAGTTTCATAGATGGGAGAACTAAGACTAGAGTCAGAACTCAGTTAAAGGGCATTCTGCCATCTTGGCTTATGCTCTTTCCACCAGATCTTGGTCTGCTACTTGCTGCTAGCAGGGAATTAAAACTCATTTGCTGTGCCACGTCCAAATCCTGCAGTGATTTGGGAATGAACATTGAAGAAACAAAGTCCAGATGACTGCTGAGGGTGCAGGAGGTTGCCTGGGTGGGTGTGGTTGAGCCACCTTCCTACACTCTGTCCAAACAGCTCACAGTTTTATGCTTAAACTAGTTCCACAAATTTGTCCCCAGGTCAGGCACTGTTTGCTAGAGATAAGGGCTGCAGATCTACTCTGGGACAGCAGCTAGAAAAGGAGGTCAGAGCCTCCTTCTGTACTTTGCTTCTTTCTCTTCCCTACTTGTACAGAGAGCTTCTCAGAGATAGTTGCTCGTTTACAGGTGAAAGAAGCCACTCTCACAATTTGTTGTGCCAGTGCAGATTTCAGATACCTTTCCCATACTGACTACATTCTGATGGAAGCTTAGCTTGGTACACGCAACCATTTTTGGCTGAGCTGGTAGTGGTTTCTGAGGCCCTTGTCACAAAAAAAAAAAAAAAAAAAAGCATATAAGTAAGATGTGACCTGGAAATTGCACTCATAGGCCAGACACTGAATCACACCATCAAGACAGGACAACCCCAAAGGACAGAAGCGACTGCAGAGGAGCCTGAGCTGGTAAAAAACTGCAGAGAGAGATAAAAGGGCAAGGAAGAGTTCAGCTGTGGTTTGCATTGTAAATAGAGGTGAGTTCGGAAGCTGAAACCCTGGGCAGAACATTCACGTAGGATTGCCTAATGCCTGCAGGGTCATGGCTGTGTAATGTGACATACCTTCGGGTAACTTCCCTTCCGAGTGCAGGGACCTGTGAATGAAGAGATACATGGAGGTAAACACTCAATGAAGTGACTCAAATCCTGATTTTGCAGGTATAAACTCTGTATGCTAAATCCACACTTTTCTCTTAATACACACGCGTTTACCATGGCTAATCTTATAAGAAAGTTCAGGAGCTGACCCTGGATGCACATGTCAGGCAGTGGCGAGCCTCATTCCCCACACGATTCTGCTATTACTTTCCTCATCCTGGCTGCTGGGACACAGCACAAATAAGCTCCATAAATCCAACTCGCTCTCAAACTCCTCATGTTGCACTTAGGGAAACTGCAAGAGGCTGCCAAAGGCTATTCACTGCTGAGAGCATTGGCTCTTTAAAATCTTGTGTTTGCTGACCAGGGACATTGCCTCAGCAGCAGCTCCTGTCTGGGGACCAGCTTCCTTCTTTCTAACCCACGCTGGCACTGGGACATATGAGAAGCTGCTCCAACTTTTTGCTCGCTAAGACTTTGAGCCCCTCATAACTTTGTCCTGGGAAGTCTCTGTAGCAAAAATGCATCCCTTGGAAACAGAATGAGAGCACCAGCACAGGAGGTGTTAAGAGTGGTGGTACTTCTACCAAGAAGCCTAAGCAAATGATCCTGACATGGTGAAGGCATCAGAGGGTATTAGCTTCAATTCCTTTTTAATTCTTTTGGTTTTCCTGCTCTAGCCTGTGGTTCATGGCTCCAGAGCACTCATGCTGACATCACCATTTGCATCACCTCCAGATTTGGCCCATCGCAGGGATGGGAGGAAGCAGGTGTCCAGCAGATGGCACTCAGAGCTGTCCCACACCCAGGGTTGCTCTTCCATTAGAAAAAAAAAAAAAAATCCAAACAATGGAACATTTGCCAAAAGGAGAAAGAAAATAAAAAAAAGAAAAGTTATTTAACTCTGTGTAATATTTAAAGAGATTGTTATCATCTTATAGTGGTGTATTTAACGAAGGACAATGTGATAGTTCATGTGTAAATCAACCAGGATAAAACATACATTATATGTAAACTGTTATGTTTCTCCAGTCACTTTCAAACTAGGATTATCTCTGGCTATTGGTTAAGTTCAAGGAAAGGGATTAGCTACACAGGAGCTACACAGGCGTAGACAAAATAGGAAGCACGGAGTAATGAATACCCAAAGCAATTCAAAGCAAAAGTCAAGCCAGAAATGCAGGTCATGGCAGAACTCAAACAGCAATCAGAAGTCATATGCCTTAAATAGATTCTCCTGCCAATGGTGTCCTGTTCTCCAGAGCCAAAGATCTGCAAGCAATACCGTTTTCTACTAAACAATGGCCTTGTAATACTGACTTGGCCACCTCCTACCCCACTACTCAAGTCCTACCGTTCTGTCAAAGATTGTTAAATGTTGCCTTGTAAACATTACCACAGATTTTTTCGGTGTGGTGTGGAGGGGAGGAAGGTTTAAGTATCTCCATTAATGTCTGCTCTGCTCTTCTGCCAGAGGTTTCTTCCCCCACAACTAGCATCTGGCTACCCAAAGAAGTGATTCAGCACTTGGTAAAGCTAGCAGGATAGAAGCTTTTTAAAACAAGCTTGAAGAGATAAAGCAGCGAGCGGTTGTGAAATCGGACTGACTCTCCGAAGTCCTGGTGCCTGTTCTGCGTGTGCTGCTCTGCCACAGACGGACCACCAAAGCACTAACTGACAGCAAATTAAAGGATGTGAAGAGCAGCTCCAAGAGTGAACTAATAATAACCATTCCTGGCCACCAGAAACAGA